GCCTGTTTGTAATAAAGACAAAAATAAAAATAAAACAAGTCGATAGTTCAACACCACAGCTCCATATAGTGTCAGTACAATTATAAAAGAAGACGCTTCAATCCCGGTTTGTTGACGTTAAATCAGGTTTATTTTGTACATTAGCATAATAGATATCCATACAGCAGTGAACAATAGCATGTATCTTGTCACATTAGCCGTGCAAAAACAGTGCGTGTGTGCCAACTTTTAATGACATTGAGTGCGACTCGGTGCAGAAAGGCTTGAATTAACTCCACAACAAATTTATCAAATAACCCTTAGTAAGGTTCTTACTGTAGTTAGGGAGATCTGATTCATTCCTGTTTGTCACTGTGCTGTTTACCTACGTGAAGGCTACGGCTCTGACATGCACGTGGGAATGGTGGGCGGGGAGAACCAGTTCATTTGCATTAAAGGCACAGGCAACAAAAACAGCTACAATGCCATAATAGCTAAAATTTCCCAGATTTAAAAAGGTATAATGAATAATCTGTTGGGTATTTTGAGCTAAATCTCTTATTGATTTTATCTTAATTCTTGGAAATGGGGTAAAATAGGTGCTTTTATAAAGAACTTGGTTTGAGCTCGTAGATGGTTAAAATAGTTGTCAAGCAGCTTAATGGCAAGCTTAATTTCTTTGGATTTTTTTTTTTAGTCAGAATTTTTCCAACCAAACTTCTGTACACTTCTGTTTCTTTTTCTCTCATGTCTTTTTTTACTTCATTGTTATGACATGAAGTCTGTGGGGTGAAAGAAGGAGAGATAAAGGATGATAAGCTTCAAAGAGTGTGTAGACTAAACAAGCAGTCAGCATCCTGTCTCTTTTTAGCTTGCTAACAGCGTGTCATGAGTATTCGCTGTATAGTGTAGTGGTTCTTGAAGTTACAGTGAAAAAAATAATGTATCTTCTCTATAGACAAATGTTCATAAACTTGAGTTACCATCCATCAGATGAAGCATGTTCCACCTAGGAATATTCTGTTGCCATTTTTAGTTCTGTTTGTTTTTTTCTATAGCTGAATAATAACTTTTAATAAATTCTCCACACAATATAAATAAGCAATTCCATGCAAATTTCAAACTCATTCATTCATTCATTCATTCATTCATTTTCTTTTCGGCTTAGAACTTTTATTAATCCGTGGTCACCACAGCGGAATGAACCACCAACTTATCCAGCACATTTTACGCAGCGGATACCCTTGCAGCTGCAACCCATCACTGGGAAACATCCACACACACACACACATTCACACTCATACACTACGGACAATTTAGCCTCCCCAATTCACCTGTACCACATGTTTTTGGACTGTGGGGGAAATCGGAGCACCCGGAGAAAATCCACGCGAACGCAGGGAGAACATGCCAACTGACCCAGCCGAGGCTCGAACCAGCGACCTTCTTGCTGTGAGGCGACAGCACTACCTACTGCGTCACTGCATCGCCCAAATGTCAAACTTCCCATGATTTTTTTTTTTTTTTTTGCCAAAATGGGGAAACTCTCTGAACGTTGTTTGCTTAGGCTTGTGTTTTACAGTGCTGTAAAAATACTCAAGAATGTCTCTGTCAATGTTTACAAACAATTATATTTGATTTACCAAAGTCAAAAAAGTGCCAATTGCACATCTGTCACATCCATAAAGGAGAGGTGTCACATGCATAACAAAGCTTCATTCATTCATTCATTCATTCATTTTCTTTTTGGCTTAGTCTCTTTTTTAATCTGGGGTCGCCACAGCGGAATGAACCGCCGACTTATCCAGCATGTTTTTACGCAGCGGATGCCCTTCAAGCCGTAACCCATCTTTGGGAAACCATAACACAGCTTTTTCCTCATAAATATTCTATGTTGTGTTCTAATTGTTCTATATTGAGCCTACTCTTGTCCTTTTGATTAGTAGTATTTTCTTTGAAAAGTAAACCTTAAACTGTTTTGGATTTTTATCTTTAATTTTATCATTATTATTATTTTTGTATTTTTATTTTGTGTATTACTTATTGCTGTTAGAATATTTTATAATTATAGAAAATGGTTATTTATAAAACGTGGTGGACTTGATCCTTTTTTTTTGCCATGGCTTAGCTATAGAACCTCTCTTTCTCTCTCTCTCTCTCTCTACAAAGAATGTTGTATACTAAAATCTTGTTTACTTTTTTTTTTGGTCACATCCACAACACGTTTATTTCCCTCATTTAAAATCTAAACATGTTTATAAATTGATATTTTTTGATCTCATCAATAACTGTGGTTGGTTGTTTTAGAGACTATTAACCAGTATTTCTAAGGTAGGTTAACATATACTTTCTCTGTATGTTTTTACTGCAGATATCGCATCTATAACACTGGAATTGCTCAAATGATAAAGCCAAAATTATATGTCCATGAATATGTTTATGTAAAAGTACAAATATGAGTTTTGCATGACAGCATATTTCATCTGTGAGTTATTCACAATATAACATGGCCTCTCTTACCTTTTTTTGCTGTGTCATAACATGACTCAAAACAATGATCAACAAAACAGATCGTCTTCTGTCATGTTTGTCAGAGACTCATGAGTTGTTGCGAGTGGAATGTACCAAGTACAGGGATAGTGGGAGAACAGCTTGCGTGTCTGTGCCAGGATCTTATTGTGTGTGATAATAATACAGTCGTGCGTCAGTCCGTCCGCCTCGTCTCTCAAACACACAGCAGTCTCATGAGAAACACCACTATTCAACAGAATGACTTTACTGTTCCACTGACCCACAGCTGGGAGGAAAGCTGTGTGTGTGTGTGTGTGTGTGTGTGTGTGTGTGTGTGTGTGTGTGTGTGTGTGTGTGTGTGTGTGTGTGTGTGTGTGTGTGTGTGTGTGTGTGTGTGTGCGCGTGTGCGTGTGCGTGTGCGTGTGTTTGTGTGTGTGTGTGTGTAAAATAGAGATACAGAAAAGATAAAGAGTTTTTCAATCCCGTCTGTCATGGATAGCAGTAGGACAGTTCATGTCTGTGCATGTATGTGCGTTTCCAGGTTGCCTGAAATAAGTGGGCCAGCAGAAATGAGCTGCCACTCCATTGTGAGATGTGACTCTTGATTGCAAATCTGATTTCGACACACATTATTGCCAAATGTGTGGGGAGGATGCCAGTGTGATCTGGTGGAGTAGTTTTCTGCATTGATAATGTTGCTTGTATAAATGGAAATGAATGAAGAGAGGATTAATTCTGTGCGAGTTGTGATTTATGACAGTCAACAGGGTTGAATAGGAGGGGCTGAGGTGAGTTTAGACATGTGATGGTTTAAAGAATTGGTGAAAAGAATATTTTAGTTGTTAAGTCTAGTGGTCTCATGATTAAGATTAAATTGTTACAATAAAAACTTAAGATGTGCCATTTTTCTGAACAAATGACGGAACGGAAGCTGAGTTTGTGTAAACTTTGATTGTAATGGAAAAAACATTGGCTGTTTCCATTAAGTTTTCTCAAATATGTACAAATATGTCCAGGCCTAGATTTCTTTCGTAAGATTATCCAGTGTAAATTTCTTCCTTGATTGTCAAAATTTTGTGTGCTTTAGAAGTATCTCAAAAGTCAGAATATGTCATACAGTAATGATGCAGCAGCTGCTGTCTCATAATGAAACCCCTTAAAACAGTAAAGTTCTTGCAATTAGAAACCTAAAGCTGTGATGAAATTAAAGTAAGTGCTGATTTCTTCATCTGTCATGATGTTTTCTTTTTTAAAGCTTATTATTATTGCCATTATTGATTGCATTGCTTCATTGGTAGGGCTGTGTTTTGGGGAAAAGATATCTTATTGCGATTTTTTTTTTATTTTTTTTTTTTATTTATTTATTTTTTTTTTTAATTATTTTTTTATATTTATATTTGCAAGTTAATTTTGTAGTCAAGCTTCAGCTCAATATTCTTTATTTTAGCTTTTGTTAGTTAAAAAAAGAAACTGAATTTAAACATAAATTTTTTTTCTAGAGCAAACAGTAAGCACAAATTAAATGACCTAACCTTTCTGTAAACAAGTTCAGTTCAAAAGGGTTATTGCCAAATTAAGCAGCTTATTATACAAACATAAAAATAATAATTATATAAAAATACAGAACACTCAGCAAACTAACATGACTGTTTTTTTCCTGTCCTTGGCTTAGTTATGAATAGAGTGGTTTTTTATTTATTTATTAATTTTCTACTGCTGTACAATTTGCATATTTGTATTCATATATTTTCTGTATATTTTCTGTACTTTTATCTATAATGTTATTTTATCTATTTTATTTTTATTATTATTTATTTGTTTATTTATTTTTTCCTTAATGCAAGAATGTGTTTTTGTAATATGTTATTCAGAGAAAAAGATAATGTGAGCAAAGTGTGTTCTGCTGCTAGATTGAAGCAGTTGATGTCTAATGATTCTATGTATTTGGTGCTGTGGCTCTCTGACTAATATCCATCAATAAAAATAAAAATAAATTAAATCTTGACTTTTCCACACCACACTATACCTTAAAAATGGTTATCGGAATATGCCTATTAACTGCGATCCACTGGGATAGTAAGATGTCCATTGTATCCAAACTTCAGAGTGTCAACTAGTGTACTATATAATGTATGGAATTGTGCAAATTCACCTCAGGTCTGCGAAGTTTGTCATGCGTCAAGTTTGTTCACAAAAATCTTAATGCTAAATTTCTCTATATTTAATTTCCTCTCTGATTTATTGCATTGTTGTTTTAATAATATTGTCTTTAAATAGTTATGCATGTGTAAATCACTTTTATTAGTCTGAGCGCTATGAATTGTCATTGAATGGATAGAATGGTGTAAAAGTTGTTAACAATTTTGTCAAGAGAGTTTCTAAAAGCATGAGAATGAGTTAATTTCGGAATTGCCATTTCGCATGAACTATTGCATTCAGCATTGTGGTCATTCCTGTGTTGGGTGACTTGTCTGTCTCTGTGTCTGACCGCTGTCTCTCTGCTCCTGTAGGTTTGCAGGATCTTCCCGTGATCATCAGCGTGTGTGTTACAGAAGAGCATGTTCAGCATGGACATGGAGGATTTCCCCCCTCCTCCACCTGACCGTAAGCAGCGCCATCCTCAGCACACAGACGGTGTTTACTTTCACACTGTGGAAATGCAGATGTTAGTTTCTGGCACGAATGGAAGTTTTCATTTTCTTCAAAGCGGTTTAAAAACAGCAGGGGTTTTACTGTCCGGCGTCATGGTCATGTTGACTTTCAGTGTGTCGAATGCAGAGGAATATCATGCTTATAGGAGTCTGAAGGGTAGAGAGAAGAGAATGAGCAGTGTAAACACATTCCATGGCTCAGCCACTAAGGAGCGTGTGGGTTGAAGAGCGGAGGAACGCCAGAGCGAATGCAGGGGAGGACACAAAATAAGCCAGAAAACAGACGCTCTGTCTTGATGCAGAGACTTTGACAGATGAGAAAGATTAGGTCAACTGATTAAAGTAGGGCTATAATTAAAGGAAATTTGTCCCCAATTTTTTTAATTCTGCTGTTATTTACTCCCTTTTGATCTGCACTTCTTTGTACTGCTCTGTTCTCACTAGTTCTTTGAGATCATTTTTGTTGTCAAACTATCTGCATCCAAATTTGAATTCAATTGATTCACTCACTCACTTTACTTCAACATATTCCCAGTTTTATTATGGGTCGCAACGTATTCATATAAAAAATCTATTACACCAAAGAAAATATATTCTATTATCATTTACTCCATTCGTAGAATTAATTGGTGACCTTGTTCAGTGGAGAAGAGTAATAAATGAATGAAAATGTAAATATATATTTTTTCCCAACTTTATTTAAGGAATTCTTTAAAAATGTACAAATCGCACATGAATATTTCAATATTATTGTACTTTTTGACATAGAGAGAGAGAGAGAGAGAGAGAGAGAAAAAGAAAGAAAAAGAAAAAGAGAAGTAAACAAGGATCTAAATGATTGTGACGATTATTGACCCCCAGATATAATTTCATATAAAAAAAATAAAATAACAAAAATAAAACAAAAAATAATAAACAAAAAAGGAAACAAATAATAATAATAATAACGATTAAAATAATAATATTAATACTAATAATTACCATAAGCCTGGTCATAATGCCACATGGGATGTCACACAGCAGTGAGGACTGTAAAAATGACCTGTCTCCAGTTTGCATTCCCATATATTCAAGCAGAGAACCTCAAATTTTCTAAAAGTCTTTGGCAGAACCCTTCCGACAATGTCTAATTTGTTCCAATTTTATGAAATGAAAAATGTCATTAATCCTCATGGAGTGAGTACTGTAGGTGGAGCAGATGACTTCCAATGTAACAGGAGGGACACAAAAGCCACAAAATCTGTTTTGTATCATAAACAATGAACTGACAAAGGAAGTGTACCAAACCGTGCTGTTGTAGATACAGGTTAAATTGCTTGCCCAACAACTTGAGACATTGTCTAAAATATTTCTGACCAATAACCACGTAAAGTTGGGCAAAACCAAAACATATGTGCCAGTGTTGCAGAAGCCTGGCAACAACAGTCACAGAGAGGATCAACATTAGAGTTAATTTTTGAAAGCTTGACCTTAGTCCAATGAGAACCATGGAGTATTTTGCATTGTATCCAAATCCAACTATGTTTAGCACACACCGATGAGATGAAAATGTGAATATGAACAAATAAAATATTTGTAATTATTTATAAAGTCTTGTTTTAGTTTTTTTTAAATGAGATTTTTATTAGTTTTTTTTTTTTGATATAACATACAATACCATACAAATATATAAAATGTATAGAAGTTCTTCACAATTTATAAATTTATTAATTTCGAAAATAAATAAATAATTCGACATCCAGTAACAAAAAAAAAAAAAAAAACAATAGTAATAATAGTACAGAGCATAACAGGATAGATACATTCATATTTCAAGTGAGGAAATGAAAATCTCCCACAAATCTATTTCCTTGTAATCACCATTCAGTTTGGCCAACATTTTCTCACATGATACATTCTCAATCATGGATTCCATCCATAATTTAAGTGTAGGGCATTGATTATCTTTTTAAAACCTCAGTATTATATGTGCTGTGTAGTAATGCCCAAAATTATAAGGGTGAACTGATCATTTGTAACATGTGGAACCTCAGTTTTGTCACATAAGAGGCATTTCTTGGGTGAGAGAGGGATATTAAATCCCAAACATCTACCTAATTGTCTTGACACAGATTCCCACTTGTTTTCTTCTAAATGTGTATACTATATTATTATATGATTGAATTTGCTGGGAAGAATGACATATGGGGTAATACTTTTGCATATGCTGTTTTCTTTGTTTAATAGTTTTGTTTATTAGACCAAAATGATTAACAAATTATGCACTGTTTGAATAAAAAGTCTACCACTTAGTGGCCAAACAGAACAACTCATTGGCCAGTGCTGATAAATAAAAACAATAATGCAGTGTATAAAGTAGCTTTGTGGGTGTAAAAAGTCTGTAAAGTTTCAAATATTAAAGTGCACAACTAATCCTTTTATTATCTACCAGTGGAAGAAGTGGTTCTGAACAGCCTGAAAGGAGTCATCAGTAATTCCAGTCTTACTTCCTACACAATGCTTCGTTTCATAACGCCAGCCTATAGTCTTCACAGAGTGCATATGAACGACATGTAGACCAATCAGACTAGAGTCAGCTTTCATAAAGAGACGGACAAATTTCCATATCAGTGCATCCCTAATAATAGGGCACCTTATAAATGTTGCATATTTGTTTAGAAATCGTGTTAATAATCGTGTAATAAGAAAACGAGAGCCATTTGGGTTGATGTTAAAGTTTAAACTCAGTCACACTTCATATTTTAAAGCATGAATATTCACCATCTCTCTTCTACACAACGATTTGGAAACTCGCACATGCTTTATCTCTCTCAAACTTCATTTATTAACGCAGAGAGCTGATAAAAAACACTTTCTGTTCGTGCCTCATTGACTCGTGCTTCAGATTAGCATTTTCCCATCATTCAGTTTAGTGAAAATGAAGAAAGCTAACTCCTCTGAATCCCTTTAACCCTGATTCCTTATCTAAAACTCTTCACCTTTGACCTTAGGCCCTGTACTCTCACACCAGGTGCTCAGTGTGGTACTGTAATGAATAGTGCTTGAGGGTCTAGAGTTTAAACTCAAGATCAAGCTTTAATGCTGTATGCCAGATTTTTCTTTGTTGTAAATAGTTCATTCGCATTACTGAATGTGATGTTAGTGGGTATGTTTTTTGTTTTTGCATGCCGACTGTCATGTGCAGCTTTCAGGCATGCAGGGACGGCGCTCCTGCCAGCTCACACTGAATAAAAATGACATTACATCTGTCAACAAGTGTAAGTGGTGGTAAACCAAACTACTTTAAGATGGTTCACACTGCAGATTCTGTTGTTGTTTAAAATTGTTGCTTGTCACATTGTACGACATGATCCAAGTGAGATGTTGGAGTTTAAGCATGTTGGTTTTTACAACAAGCTTTAGGGTTTTGATTCTCAATCCTGGTCCTCGCACATTTTGTAAGTTTATCTCAACACTTTTACACTATTTGTTTAATTCATTTCAACTAAAACATGAAGAGAGAGTGGGACATAGTGTGGCTCCTCCCCTTTTTAATAAACCACCAATAGCGTTTGGGTTTATCAACGCACTGGCAGTGAGAGAAGTTGAGCTCAAGCACATTAAATGTGCAGGGTCTTGAAGGGGCGGTGCATGTCAGATACTAGAGAGCATTTAATTATTTACAATTTGATGAAACTGAAATCCATTTAGGTGGAAGTGACAAACTACAAGCTTTACATGTTTTTATCAGTTTTATATTTTTAAATTGCGAATATTGCCACTGTTTTGGTGTGTACTAGCTTGTAGATATTCTAAACACTAGCAATACTTATACTAACATCTAAAAAACCATTTGAATTTCATGGGATGTTTAAAGTGCATGAGACATGAGTTCATGCAAATCTGAAGATTATGGTTAAATATCCCTTCACATTTCTGTAATAAGCTGCAAACAGTTTAGTGAAAATCTTTGTTTTTAAATCAAATAATATTCAAGTTCAGGTTCCCGTGTGTATGGACTGTGGGGTAGAGAGCAGTAAACACTATGTAACTGTACGAACACAACCAAAAACGTCAAAGTAGTCGGAAGTCACTTATTTTCATTGGGAGCAACGGCGATAAGCAGCGAGGTGCGTCTTCGCCGTTGTGGGCATCGAGGCATGTTGAAATCAAGTCAACTTTATGGTAATGAGCTATGATACAATTCAGCGGCAACCAATCAAAATGTTGGAGTCCACCGCTTGAGAGGAGTCCAGAAAACACAGTCCTGTAAACTTTGGCTCCAACCACAGTTGTTCCCAAGGGTTTAATATTGCGGTCCAGTTATTTACATTGTTTTCTTACAGGGAAAAAAAGTTACTTATGTATATTTTTCTTTTTAAAAAAAGAGGGAATCTCATGCTAACTAACAACTTCAGAATATTTCAGACATATAGACACATTGGATAAGTGGAGCAAAGCCACACCACACGCAACAACTTGATCTTTCATTGTGAAATGAATTTGATAAAAGGCGCTCAAAAAATTTTATGCGGGATTGTAAGTGATATGCTGCAATGGCTCCTTTAAATACGAGATCAATGTAGCGAATTTTGATACACTCTCTGCCGGAGATGTGAAGGCAGACAGCATTGTCGCCAGGGATGCCAGAGTAAACTTTAATGCTTTCTGTGTGAACGTACAGTAAGGAGCGTGTCAATCGGAAAACAGTTCCTTCATGGAGCTCTTTTCTAATGGGCTGGTTATCTAAATCAAGTGTGTTTAACGAGAGACATGCCAAATGTTCAAAGCGGGGAGTTGCTAGGTCCAGGATTGAGAACTGCAGTTGTATGGGATTAATAAACAAAATTCAGATGTTTTGTGTATTAAAAGGTTGGAGGGGAGGTGAATTTATTTATTTTATGATTTTATTTTATTTATTTATTTTTTTTTGTGAAAGAATGCCACAAAAACAACTTTTACTTGAGTTAAAAA